TTTCTAGAGCTTTTGGTATGCAATGAGTGCAAGATTATCTTCATAAATAAAGCTTGTTTCTTTTTTTTTTTTTTTTAGTTTCATCACTTTACTGAAAAGGGATTGGTGGATTTGGGTATGTTGCAAAAAAGTACAGTGCTATGCAATCAGCTGAAGAATGACTGAAATGTTTCAGCATTTTTAATGAAAAATTAGGAAATAAGTGGGGTCTTTTTGCAACTGTTTCTGAAGTCCATAAAGTGGAAGAATGTTCTGTTAAATTGCTGTATAAAATTTTAATCCCAGCTACTACTGACTACAATGATCCAGTTTGTTTTCCACACCTGCTGCAAAAATTTCTTACACATGAAGTTTTTGCCAGTAATAACACTAAGATGTTGCCCTCCATCTTCTAAAGGAGCAGATAGAACACACTTTGAATACTGAAACTCTCCCCCCAAACCATTCCCTAATACACCTACTTAATACCACTTGAGGTGGTCATAGCATATATAAAAATATGGCTTACCACCTGATTCCTGACTTGCATTCCTGTGTATGATGATTTCATAAATGGAAAATAAATCCCCACGTTTTAAAAATAAAAGCAATTGGGAACAATAACAGAGAACTGGATTGTAGGTGAAATAGCTGCAGAGGAAAAGCTGATCTTGCTTTTAATGGAGTTATATTTATTATTCATAAACCTCTTCTCTAAGAGATATGCCACATGGCAATTAAATCAACTCACACAAAACCTTCGTATTATCTTAGCCCATGAACGCCACCCTCTCATGGCAGAGAAGACACAGGACTCTTGTCTAGGCAAATGAAGGGAAGCCCAACGGCCATGCAAGTCTTGCTTTCCCTGGCTCTCTAGCTGGGCTCTGTGGATGGGTTAATACAACCTGTGCTGCTTAGTGGTATCAGACCACGTTTAATGCTGGATGAACTGACATTCCCTACCCTTTTAAAATACTGCTAACAAGGAAACATCCACATGGTATTCTGTGTAACAGGGCAGTGATAGCAGTGGCAGTACCCACTCCTGGGTTTTGAGGCCATTGCTCATTTGGCACAGCTGAGCACAGAGCTCACTCCAGCACCGCCAAAGCCTGGGCTGCTTGCTTTCTGCCTCTGGATCAGTCATAAGGTGTCCTCGTGGTTTTGGAAATGTGAGGTAAGGTCACAAAATGTGCAGTATTGTGTCAGTCCAAGTGTCTACTCAGCACCATCTCCAACACTGTCCAAAGCAGATCACAGAATCACAGAATTTTCAGAGTTGGAAGGGACCTCTAGAGATCATCTAGTCCAACTCCCCTGCTAAAGCAGGATTGCCCAGAGCACATTACTCAGGACTGCATCCAGGCGGGCTTTGAAAATCTCCAGAGAAGGGGACTCCACCCCCTCCCTGGGCAGCCTGTGCCAGTGCTCTGTCACCCTAACTGTAAAGAAGTTTTTCCGTGTGTTGGAACGGAACTTCCTGTGTTCCAACTTGCACCCATTGCCCCTCGTCCTTTCACTGGGAACCACCGAGAAGAGTGTGGCTCCATCCTCCTTCAACCCACCCTTTAGGTATCTGTAAGTAGTAATAAGGTCTCCCCTCAGCCTTCTCTTCTCCAGGCTAAAGAGTTCCAGCTCTCTCAGCCTTTCCTCGTAAGGGAGATGCTCCAATCCCTCAATCATCTTGGTTGCCCTTCGCTGGACTCGCTCCAGCAGTTCCCTGTCCCTCTTGAACTGGGGAGCCCAAAACTGGACACAGTATTTCAGTTGTGGCCTCACCAGTGCCGAGCAGAGGGGGAGAATGACCTCCCTCGACCTACTGGACACACTCTTCCCTATGCAGCCCAGGATTCCATTGGCCTTTTTGGCAGCAAGGGCACACTGCTGGCTCATTGACAATTTACTATCTACCAGGACCCCTAAATCCTTCTCCTCAGAGCTACTTCCCAGCAGGTCCACCCCTAACCTATACTGGTGCCTGGCATTCTTCCTCCCCAGGTGCAGGACCCTGCACTTGCTTATGTTGAACTTCATTAGGTTCCTCTCTGCCCAGCTCTCCAGCCTGTCCAGGTCACGCTGGATAGCAGTGCGGCCCTCTGGAGAGTCAGCCATCCCTCCCAGTTTGGTATCATCAGCAAACTTGCTGAGGATACACTCTGTCCCCTCATCCAGGTCATTAATGAATATATTAAACAAAATTGGACCAAGTATCGACCCCTGGGGGACACACTGGTTACAGGCCTCCAACTAGACTTCATGCCACTGATCACAACCCTCTGAGTCCTGTCACACAGCCAGCTCTCAATCCACCTCACTGTCACCTCATCTAGCCCACACTTCCTCAGCTTCCTAATGAGGATGTTATGGAAGACAGTGTCAAAAGCCTTGCTAAAGTCAAGGTAGATGACATCTACAGATGCTTCCGGTCCCAACTTCCACTTGCTTAACTCAAGGACTTGCTACATAGTGAATGCTAATATAGTGAATCTTTCACTACTTCACTTTATTTGAAGCTGTCTCCAAATTCTGACTTGCTCTTTATTTTGGTACTGAGAAAAGCAGAAGTGAGCCATCAAAGCTGTCACAATAAGCAAAAGAGACTTTGACTCTTGAAGAAGGAACAACTTGAGCATTTGGTACCAAGGACATGTTAGAGGGAGATTGGGGTTCTGGGAAAAGTATATTAGCTGACTATTTGTATGACCTTGTTAAGAAAGAAAACAACGGCAATGAGTCTCATAATCCTAATTAGGTTCCAAAGATGACCTGTGAAGATGCAGCTGTCTTCTTCTATCACAACATATCTTGCCTGAGCAGCAAATAAAAGTTTCAGTCTAGTCCTGGTCAAGTGTATTTCTCCTAAGACTGTCTCTAGAGATCACTTGTTTCCCTCTCCCATTTGCCTTTCCCAATATGAGGGAAAGACTTATGGCCTGTACTTACAATCTTACATGAAGTTTACTAAAGGCTTATTTTTAAATAAATGTAATTGAACAAGTTCAGACCCTTACCTACACAGCAGCTTTAGAATCCATTTATCTCAGATTAGTTTAAATGACTTTCCTACTTTACTGAAACAGAAATAAGTCACTCAAACTAAGGATAGGTTTGATTCAGAGGAGTTTAAAATTCTAGAGACGATTTAAGTTAAACTGGTGGAGCCTAAGGACAAGAAAAGAGTTTTTTCACCATCTCTGGGAAAAATCTGTTGGAAAGAGAAATTGTTCTGTAAAGGGCAGAAGACTTTAGATCCAAGTCATTTCTGGAAGCCAGTTCCAGAAAATTTGTTTATTACTAAAAAGAAAACAATAATTAATTTTTTGTAAATCAAATATTCTTTCTCTTGAGCACTGACAGGGATGTCTGCAATAAATTATATTTCAGAATTTCCCATTACCATCGGGGCAAACCAACACATAAGAAACAAAAAATAAACAGCTACACAGTCTATATAAAGGAGTAGTGAACAAATGACATGAAAAAAACTCATTTTTAGTCATCCAGAAACAGATACAGCAGATGTAGAACAGAAAATCATTCCACTCTGTGTAGTTCAGATCACGTAATATTGTTAGACAAAGCGATCAAAACTGCAGCTCTATTAGCAATAACAAATGAAATGCATCTATAGCACTAAAACCATTCCCTTGCCAATCCTTTTTCTTTTTCTCGACAAAAGCTGCTCTGTAATTTGTACCTTTACTTAGTATTTATATGGAAGAAGCTCTCAGACCATTGTGTAAGAAAGGTAGATCTTTTGTCTGCTCATCAGAAAAGTTTGAAGCATTCTAATACAAACTAAAAAAAAAAAAAAGGAAATGGTATTAATAAATCCAAAGAACATAGTAAGCTTATAAAAAAGCAGTAGACCTCTACTTCAGCTCCCAGAGATGGTAGCTTTGATGTGCATTAAAAAACCCAACAAAACCAAACCATTACATTGGTCTATTTTTTTTTCTGAAACACAGCAAACAAATGACTAATCTCAGCAGTCACCATAGCTGTGGAGAAAGGATGGTCACACTGAATCTAATTTTAATGTCAAAGTGAATTGTGGGAATGAAACCACTCCAGTCATCCCATGGAGTGACACAAAGCCGATATCTGCAGGATCCACAGCTGCTGTTGTCTATGATGGGAACTACAGATAAAGGGGATAAGTATGTACCAGAATGCAACAATATATAATGGAATAATATAACATAACCACCACCTGCTCCTTATCAGCCATTCTAACATATATGTTGCAATGGTGCTCCGACATGCCTAGTAAAGCAGGTAAGGGGCTGATTTCTAGCCAATTTCCTGGTGCCCATAATAATGGGCCTCCAAGGCTTCCTTCCATGACAGGGAGTAACTAATCATGGCAGTCTGGGCAGGACCTCAAACCAACCCACCAGACAATGTAAATAGCCTCAACTACTGCATGCAGTCCGACACCTCACTCCAATGCAATGGGCTGCAATGCCAGCAGCACCGTATGCAGGAGGTACAGGTCTGCACCTCCTGGTCCAATAAACATGCTCAAGGGACACAGATGCCTGGATAAACAAATTGCTTTAAACTGGTTCCCAGTGGGACCAAAATAGTGCTCTTTGAAATCCTTCACCCCTTGAAAAGGCTCTTTGCAGAAGACAAAAACATATAGAGAATATAGGAAGAATATAGAGAATAAAGGAAGATCAGATAGCTCAGCTTTAACTCTGTGTCAACCTTGTTTGTACGACAAGGGAGAGACATTTAAAGTTGAAATCCTATAGATTAGAGAAAAGAAGTGATAACATACTCATGGCTAGCCTTTTCCCAGATTGGTATTGTGACACCCAAAGTCTTCTTTTGTCAACTCCTCCTCCCCCTCCATCTGAAATGAATGTCTCTTAGCAAGAAGCATGAAGCTAAAACCATGAAAATTCCTCAGTGGTATAACCCCCCCACTATTCTCATGTTTGAAAGTAAGAATCATTACGCTTTTAATTACAGTCATTTTAATATTAATGTTTTAAAGAAAGAAAAGGTACCTGTAACACAGAAGCCCCACTGTGGAGAAACTGGAGCCCACTTTCAGCAGAATCGATGCCGCCAGTTGCTAAGATGGGAAATCCTGGGAGAGCACGGGCTATGGCCGACACTGCGCGGAGGGCGATGGGCCTAATAGCATTCCCTACAGAAAACCAGAACATTTTGTAAGCAACGTCAGAACACAGCCTGATGTAATTTGCACATCCCTCACGGTAGGATCATTAGGAACTAACATCTAATTCCAAGATGCAGAGGTTATATTCATTTATAAATTGACACCAAGTGGGTTTCAAGTGGTATCAATACTTGTAAAGTATTATGAATTTGGCTGAAATAAAGAAAATGGCAGAAATATTTGGATAAACATTGCAAAGCTGGGTTTTAGCTGATGCTCAAAACAAAGACTAACAATGTCCGAGACAGAAAGCAATACTTTACCATACAGTACACTGTAGACCGAGATCTATGTTTCTACATAAAGAATCAGGTTGATCTTTTGAACAGAGACATTGTATAAGAGGGAACATCTCATTTATTTATGTCTGACGAAAAATTGTTTAAAAGCACTATTTCACTGCAGTTGACATTTTGTATATTATTTAATATGTTTCCCTTTTGGATGCTTGTAGATGTGGATAATCCTTTAAGTAAGCCCCCTTTAACAATTAAAATGACAGTCAGAAGCTCAAAAGAATAAACTATATTCATTTATGGTTCTATCTCCAAGACTGGAGCTTCCATTTTAAAATGCTATGTAGAGGCTGAGTGAGACAACTCCCTGCTACATTTAGGGGAATTACAATTAAAGTCTCAATACACTGTGTCTGCAATGCATCTGATTTGGCTACATCCTATTGATGGTATGCAAATATTTAAAATACGCATACAGATGCTGCTCATTAAATGATGGATAGCATAGACAGCTGACACTTTCAGTTATTTTTTAGGCTAGTGGGGATTTCTCTAGATAATTCCCATATTCTTAAAATTTCTACTTAATTTAGAGAACCTTTAAGATAATATTATGTTGGCATTGGACAACAATACAGTAGTGTAAGGGCGGGATACAAGGCTCCCAGAGGAACTGGTTGGCTGTCAACCTATGCAAGGAAGTGCTAGTATTTTATTTTTGTTTTCCTGTACTGTATTAGGCAACTTGGAGAAATACCATGACATGAAATCCTTCTGAACACCCTCCATGGGTGTTTTTATAACCTTTAAAGGTTTGACCTACTGCAAAAGCAAATAACGAAAAGGGAAGAAAGAAAGAAAACCAATGCAATGAACAAAGCAAGAGGAAGAAGAAACCACATTTAGGAAGCGTGGGAAAAAAGCCCATGAAGAAAAACTGCATCCCACACCTCTGCTTAGGTGCCTGACCAATATTCTCATTTCCTTGAGAAAAAAATTTCTTCTTCAACCCAAACAAGCTGTGTTGCCATTCTTTCTCTGCCCTTTCTGAGACAGAAGTACTGCGGTCTACTAGCTGGATTTTTAATCTAAGAAAGTCTTTAGTAATGGATAAGTTGCTTTTTTCAAGCAGCCCTGTCTCACTGAGCCTGGCATCTAGCCTCCCTCCAGTGTCCCCATCAGTGCTTCTTTTCAGGCAGAGTTTTACTGGTCTCCATGAAGGACCTACTGTCCGCTCAGGATTCTGCTCTCTAGAATGAGCCTCAGCCTTGCTTGTGCATCATCTAAGACCTCCCCAGTCTAGCTGGAACGGTCAATGAGGAGAATGATCCCCCCACGAGTTCAGGCTGCAAAACCTGTCATGTTTTGCTTTAAATAGGACAGCTGCACTGTCACTTTGTCAAGGAGTTGTTCAAGTTAATTTTCCATTACAGAAAACTGAAATTTGGTTTGTCTGAACCATTAAAAATACTCTGTCTTCATCTCGTATTTCCTTTTGCAACATACCACTGTCCCTCACTGTAACCCTGACAGACAACACTGAATTCACAGGAGACCTTGGCCCCTCAGTATTAAACACATCGCCACCCAAAAGCTCAGCGAAGCAGCCTCTATTGACACCTGCTCTGGGTTCAGCACAAAATTATCTTCTTGGGCAATGATAACTTCTGCTGCCTCAGGATAGACACCTTCTCATTATATACTTAATACAACACCTCCTCCTTCTTCAACAGCTGATCTCTGCACCTGACCAAAAACCAGAAGACTCACTATCTGATCAGACTCTTCCACCTGCCATCAAGACACACCTGATGTTCTTCCATGCCCATTTTAGGGATCAGGCCCAAATCACGACAACTGCTCACAGACTTTACACGAATACTTCTTGCTAGTTTAACACAGACTACATAGAGATATAACATTTTCAGCATATAAACTTTCATTTGCATAAATGGACAGTCTAACCGAACATGAACTATCAGTGTGTTTTGGTGAAAACTAGAGCCTGGTTCATAAAAACTAGAAATCTCCCCAAAACTGCCTTGAAGAATCTAAGATCACACCAGAAGAGATCACAGAAAGGAGCCGGTCCTGAACAGGAACTTTCCACTGGACGCTAATGACTATCTGCCATCATTTGAGCTAGATCAATTGTAACGCATTTGAAAGGAACAGAATGACTCTCTGAAAGAGGATGACTGTCAAGAGGATGGGGCCAGACTCTTTTCAGCGGAGTCCAGCAACAGGACAAAAGGCAATGGGCACAAACCAGAATACAGGAAGTTCCATCTGAACATGAGGAAAAACTTCTTTGAGGGTGGCAGAGCACCGGAACAGGCTGCCCAGGGAGGTTGTGGAGTCTCCTTCTCTGGAGATATTCAAAACCTGCCTGGATGCATTCCTGTCCAACCTGCTCAGCAGAATCTCACTGCGATGAAGTAATTATTTTTTAGAAAGGTGAAAGAATACAGATGCTGGTAACTCTGAAATCATGTGGCTGGAGGGAAATTTCTTCCAAATCTGCATGAGTTAAAAACTGACATCTGCCTTGAGGCATGATGGTTTATGTTCTTTTAACCCTCATATAACCCTGAGAGTTTGCATTCAATCAGTTTTTAAGTCTTATAGACCCTTGACCTTAATGATATCTTGTAGAAAGGAGTTCCACAAGAAAATATTTCCAGAATATAATTGTTCCTTTCTTCAGTCTGATTAAATTAGCCACCTTCTCACTTAAATGACTGTCTTTGTGCAATGGTCAGTAGAGGGAAAGGAGCAAATGACAGTTTATTTAAGGTTTCAGCACAATAGGTAATCAGAAAGGCCTTCATTCAGCCCAAAGAAATCAAGCGTATGATTTGATGAAGCCTAGCAGAGATGGCAACGAGACTTAGAATTTATTATGGAACATAGATACTTTTTAGCACTAGCTGTACTTGATATTCATAATATGAGTTATTACTTACATTTGGTAATTAGTAAATTAGTGATAAATTGGTACGATCGCAAAAGTATTCTATTCATCTATAATTCACCCAAATGAATTTAAAAACATTTCAGGAGTGCTTCTGATGAGAGTAAATAAATGGCTCTAATGACAATCAGAGGGTTGACTGAGGTGTCACTAGTCATCCCAGCATTTTTTTCTTTAGCTTACAGAATACGGAACAAGCACGTCAGAAGATGCAGCCATTCTCCTGTGCATTTCTTGATCAACAGTTCAGAAGCTTCCTCTTCTGCAATAAAAGCTGCTGGTCTGAAATACCATGTGATTTACTTGTGACACACATCCTACTGCCTAATGAAATGGTGAAAAAACCTTCCAGATTAAAGCCAAAAAAACCAAAGAATACAAACAGTAGCAATGCCAAGATATCACAAGATAAAAAAAAAAAAAGGCAAACAATAAAAAAAAAAGGCAAATGAGCATGGAAATTTGACCTAGAGTCTCTATTTTCTTGCATTTTCATGAGTACCACAGGAAGGTAATAAATTCCATTATAGAGATTTGTAGAGAAGGAGTTTTTAAAAGGTTGAAATAAAGGAGATTTAATGCCAAATTTTTAAAGAGCTGTAAGTAGTAGTGGGAATTTGCAGAATGTTGTCTGATAAATCCAATGGTATTTAAGAAGCTGAGGTCCAAATCTATCATGCATTTGAAAGACAGCTCACATGCTAAAAAATAAGCATCTAGCACATACTTTGACATGTTGGGACCTGTAATTCCACTAGTTAAGCACCCGTAGCTGGGGAAACTGCTGATATGGTACTCTCTTGATAGTAGCATTACAGCTGCTACCAGATGCTAGATGTGGCTATCATTTACCTTGCTGTAAAATAATGAGATTTAATGAACAAAGTCCATTTATCCAGACATCAACCAGGGGAGTGAGATTTGAAAATGAAAGACAGACAGAAAAATACCTGGTGGCGAGAACATGCTACTCTATGTTGAAAACTACACTTTGAATTCTCTCATTAATTATAGAACAAATACTTGCTATTATATAAAGATTTAAACAATTAAATAATTATATGATGCAAAAGTCCCTGACCTTCTTCTTGCCTTAAAACAAAGAGGTTTGGGGTTTTTTTTCTTTTCTTTTTTTTTTTTTTAAGTGAGATTTTTCATGACTATCAGGGACTGGAGTCAAGGAAATCCAATAGGCAAAATACAACATGAAGGAGAAGCAGAACATACGTCGATCAAATGCCTCTCCCTGATCAGCACAGGTAGGCAGAGCTGCCCTTGTCCTCTGAGAATAGCAGGCTGATGACAAACTGATGACAGGTATTATACCTACTTATTTGCTTGATTGTTTATTTTTCCTCAGGAGGTAAAAAACCCTTTACCAATGCCAGAAGACACATGTTTTGTTACGTCTTCGTAAGTCCTTGAAGTCCACAGAGGACTTGATCCTGTCAGACATCAAAAATGTTCACTAGATTCAGACTTGAGAGTCAAACTTAATGCCTTCTTCAAGGAGAAGCCTGGCATTATGCTTCAAGGAACTCAGTAGCTTTGGAAGCTCTTAGCAGAAACAATTCAGAACTTCTTGATCCCAGTGATCCACCAATGGGGAAAAAAACAGTCTCAGAAGTCTTGAATATTGGCCTACATTCTCACTTGCAATCTATTGCACCAACATGGCAGTTTAAAGTCTTTAACACATACTTGCAGCAGCCCTAAATGGGCCTTTGATAAAGATGATCCAGGTCCATTAAAAAACA